CCGTATTGCTCGATAAGGTGTACAAGCCATCGACCGACACGACCTACAAGCTATCGACCAACGAAGACGTTTCTCCATCGATCGATATCAATAACAGACCACCAACCGATCCTGCCACAACACCATCCGAGGTACAAACACCTAAATTTGATTTCAATTCACTAATTCCGGATGAGTTTGGTATTTTCAGGGATTCAGATGGTCATGCACGTGCTATAGATGGAAGAATCATTCCTATCTCCACCGAAGATGTTGAAGACATACTCCAGATGGCCAATGGACCTATCATCAAAAACGACCCGAACCAGACAAAACGCCCATCGACCGATGCATGGAGACTAGCATTGATCGATACACACCGAGAGTATGGGAAGAGCGCTTTCCAAAACGGAGAACGTCGTTTCTTTTGGGAAAAGAAAGATGAATATGGAGTCTACAGAGATGAATCTGGCCATGCAAGAGCAGTAAACGGAGACATCATCCCTGTCACCAAAGAAGATATGGACAACTTGCTGAAGAGAGCCTCACTATTTGGTCGCTCTTGTTTCTGTCTACCAGGATATGCTGATCAGTTTGNAGAACGTCGTTTCTTTTGGGAAAAGAAAGATGAATATGGAGTCTACAGAGATGAATCTGGCCATGCAAGAGCAGTAAACGGAGACATCATCCCTGTCACCAAAGAAGATATGGACAACTTGCTGAAGAGAGCCTCACTATTTGGTCGCTCTTGTTTCTGTCTACCAGGATATGCTGATCAGTTTGCTAAAGGAGTTCCAGATGGCAAGCTCTACACACAGAAAGAAGTCTCCTACATGCTAGATGGCCTCACCAGCGATCACAACTGGAAGATAGCAGGCGCGAAACTTGACCTTGAGGAAAAACTATCAAGACTTCGAGGTGAAATGCTATGCCCTACAAGAAGAAGTCAAAACTCTGCGCGCGCAACTAAAGTCTCAGCCACAGCCATCGACCAATACAGATCCCCCTGCATCGCTCGATACAGCCGTCCACCACCCGATCGAGCACCACTTCCAGTCCATCGATCGATACCCGTGCTCCAGAATTCTGTACCAGGGAAGAATTTGAAGAAACCACAGCCGAGATCTACAAATCCATTGAGGCTTGTGAAAACGAAGATTACTATCTACTGGACAAGTATTGGTTCCCAGTGCAGAAGTTTAGAACTTAGAACAGAAGGGATTCAGAAGGAGGTAGAAGATATCCAAAGACAGCTCGCCAGCCGACCTGACCCATCCCCCTCGATCGACGAAGCACACAACGCATCGATCGATATGAAACCTCCAGCCTCCACCGACGATCCAACACACCACGACACCATGCAGCGCACAACAGGACACATCTACAGCATGATTGGCAACCATCAGTACAGCCTTGCCAACTTAGAGGGGTGGTTAGAAAGGATCCAAGAAGAAGTTTATGGTTTGAAGACTAGCATGACCAGAAGTGAGAAGGCCACAAGAAGCTTTCTAACCTCTTGGTTTGATGAAACACAAGAAAAGGAGGACACTTGTTTACCAACAAGTACCTGCAACCCACCTCACTAGCAACCATTCTTCCATAGTCAAGCTAAACTGACTTTAAACAAGCGCTGAGTGGGAGGCAACCCACTATTAGGTATTTTACTTACTTATTTTATTTTATTTTTACTGACTAGTTTCGTTTTTATTTGTTTTTAGGAAGATAGACACACGATCCATACCTATCGACCGATACGAACCAGTCGATATCGCTCGACACAGAACAACACGCATCTATCGACGATGGCGACTCACCATCGATAGATACCCATATCGGTCAGGTATATCGTTTCCAATTTTCGATATCAGTTACACATTCATTTGATATTTATGCTCTAACTCCGACTAATTATACACTGAGGACAGTGTATGAGTGTATGGTTTAAGTCTGGGGGAGTTGATTACTGATGCTACTTTACCTCTTTTTGATCTTTTTGAAAAAGTTTTCAAAAATTGGTTTTATTGACTCAAGAAAGGGAAAAATTTTCAAAGTCTTACTTTTTATCTTACCACTCTTTAGCACCATTCTTAGACTTATTGATTTCAGAAAGTACTATAGATGCTAAAGTGGATCACCGATCACCTATGTCAACACTTTCATGATTGTCTGGAAGAACCAAAGCTGATTTCCAACCTAACCTGACATCTATTGCTTGTCTTGGGGCTTGGTATACAAGGGATCGGAATCCTCTTGCAAGTCTGGAAGGTAAAAATCTCAAAAATTTTGGTTTCCTTCTTTCCTT